TAGGGGAATGGAGAAACAGGGCGAGATTATGTTTTTGGCAAATCCAAATTAAGTTAGGTTGAATATCCTAAATATTAACATGAAAACTTAAAGCCTCTTAAAACACTTTTAAAACTCTTCAACAAAGATAGATGCACGCATGATCTCATACTTGGAGATGCTTGTCTTATGCAGGGCACCATTCATAAGGGTCACAGGAAATAGAGGAACTCTGACTATGTGTATCCCACTTTGCACCACAAGAGGGCACTGACTTCCCGGGAAGGAAAGGAACGCATTTCCAAATGCCCCCCAGAAATCATTTAAGTTACTTACAATAGATGAAATGTCTAGTGAACAACTAATCAACCAAAACAAAACCTGTGTTTTAGCATTTCCTCCGTGAGCCTCAGGGAGATTACAAAGAGATCAAACAACAATCTTTCTGGTTTAAGTTATAAGAGGTCACCTTGGACTTGAAGATACTAAGATACCGATGAGTAGTTTTGTTATTTTTAATAACACAGATACCATATTGCCAGAGCAAGACTTATATCACAGTACAGCAGAAACAGTCACTATTTTAGAAGTGATAGTTTCTATTTTATCCAAAACTTGAGCAAAAGTGTTCTTGTATCAAACATTACCTAGTATTCCATCAAATGTTTAAAATGACTAGCTCTCTTCTTCTCACTAATTAACTTATTAAACCATGCTTTTTTCATGTATCTTGTCTTTTTCAATCGGCTATATTCACCTTACATTTATAGGTTATGTTGCACCTATGTTACACTAAAAGTTTATTCCATTCGTAAAATACTCTTTTCTTCCTCTAGTAACATTTACTGTCTCCGAAGCATACCTTATGGTTGTTCTCCGTTTCCTTTTCCTTTCGTTTGCTCCCACTTTTTCATTGTATAAAGCTGAAATGGGGAAAAGAGGGACAATCGCAGAAACCAAGTAGGGTTTGAAAAAACAACTCAGGTTTGGATTTCAAATGTTCACTATAAAACAATACAAAATAAAACCACCATACATTTTTTTGTTTTAATTTTTTGCAACTTATGCCATTTTATTTTACAAGCCCTAGGTAAAAATGTTAATAAAGAAATAAATATTAATGCCAGGCTGGCGTGGCTCAGTGGTTGAGCACCAATCTAGGATCCAGGAGATCACGGTTCTATTCCCGGTCAGGGCACATGCCCGGGTTGCGGGCTCGATCCCCAGTGGGGGGGGTGCAGGAGGCAGCTGATCAATGACTCTCTCATCATTGGTGTTTCTCTCTCTCCCCACTCCTTCCTCTGTCTGAAATCAATAAAGATAGATTTTTTTAAAAAAAGAAAAATATTAACTTTGCAAAGACATTTGTCTATAAATCATATCTCTACTGTGCTTTTGTTGGAACTCTTGCTCTCAGTGCTCGCAGGCCTTGCTCTGTGCAGCCTTGACATATCAGTATGAGCAGATAATTTCATCACATTGAGTTGCTCATTTGGCAATAGCTTGTGCTACTCACTTGGAAGACTGTTGTGTACAAATGCTCAGGTGATGCTAGTATTAGGTTATAAAAATGATTCCATGTACAATCGTTACAAGATAGCACAGAGGCAAAAAAAATCTGAACGTGTTAAAAAAATTCATGTCACCACTTCACACCTATGCCGCACTGTCCCGAAAGCTGTCCTCATGCAACGTATCCTCTCACTGTTTACCTTCTCGGTAAGTTTTTCTACACTTGCATTAGTCTTCCTTTCTTTTAGTGTGATGAAACAAGAGTCATTTTTCATCTCAAAGAAAAAAACAAAACTAAACCTCAAGCCTCTCACTTTAGCATTAATCCTAACAAAACCACTGTTTTTAGCTTAAAACATCACAGAGCCATCAGAAATATAGCTGCCGTACCTCCCACTTGCTCGGCTTCCTCCAGCCATTTGGATAGTATTGCTTTTAGTTTGCATGCATTTTTGAAGCTGAGCTGCAGGTTTTCAAATCGGCAGATAGTTGTCTGACTGAATTCGGAGCCGTGCACAGCTGCCAGGGCTTCCCCAACATTTGTCTGGGTGTATCCTGCGAAAGGACCATAGAGACCATTAGCTTCAGCTTCCATGGAACATTCATTTGGTCCAATATTGCATACATCTGTGTATCTTTTTTTGTTAATTGTTCAATACAGCTTTTAAGCATATATTTGTTGGTAATTCAGAATTGCTTTGTAAGGTTCAGTGTAAAATTGTCCAGCACTTCAAAAAATATTCTTTCTGGTTAATTATTTTTTCTAGAAGTCAAAATAATTTAGATAGGAACACCTGCCATTTATCGTCAAAATGGCTAAATGTGTCATTAGATACTTAAAAATTATAGTACTGTTATTATTATTAAATATCTGATGATATATAAGTCAACAGTATATTAAATATAATGCATAAAATAAATGGTGTCCTATCATAAGTATTTTTATCTCAACTATAAGAGAGAAAAAATCAACTATATTGATGAAGGATACGAAATAAAACTAAAAATTATTATTTCTTTCCCTAAATAAATGTTTATTACGAGGCTTTGATTACCCAACATTTTATAAACACTTCCAAGCACATTTATTATATCATTTGGTAATTCTTCTACCTCCTGGCAAAGATTCACAATGATTGTCCCAAACATTTTTAGAGTACAAGTTGCTATGAACCATCAATATCAAATTTGAAACATTACTGCAATATAAATACCAAACTGCAAATGAATGTTATAAATTGCCTACTGCCGTGTTTATTGCATATAGTAACTACATATTAATTCAAGCCTACGGCTATATACCTGTATGCATAAAGTGGCTGCATATGATACCCATCGATAAATATTATTACAAAATAACCTGTGATTCATTCCACAGGTACGGAGGTTTGAATTATCGTTCTCAATCCATTAAAAGAAATTCACTGCTTCATGAATTTAAATCACTGTTAGTTGTTACAGTTATTTTATGTTAAAAACACTTCAATAGAAAGTGAGCAAAAGCTATGATCAGATAATTCACAGAAATGAAATTACAAATGACTGTCAAGCACATGAAAGAACACTTTCGAATCGTCACTTAGAAGAGAAATTTAAAGTGAAACTACCCCGAGGTTGACTTTGACCTATTTGATTTTCAAAGATCCAAAAGATTAATTGCATATTTTTCCTTTAACAACTATTTATGTATCAGTCACTGTTCTAAGTGCTGAGGCTATGTCCTTAAGGAGAAAACAAAAACAAACAAACAAATCAACAATAAACTCCTGCCTTCATGGAGGTCATTTTCTGAGGGCTGCAAAAGAGACACTACTGATGGCAGTAAAATTTGGTGCAACGTCTACACAGACAAATTTGACAACTTCTGTCAAAATTACAGGTATGAATACTCTTTGATCTAGCAATTTTGTTTTTAACACTTCCCTTAGACATATATTTGTGTAGGTACAAAATGACATTTATGAAGTTAATTATTGTAGCATTATTTTTAGCAGAATAATATTGATCACATAAATTTACCATCTGTAGGGGAGGTAAAATAAATGTAAAATGGAATAAAACAGATCTATTAGAAAAAAACAAAACCACCTCTCTATAAACTAATACGGGCCGTGGCCAGGGTGGCTCAGTTGGTTGGGCATTGTCCAATGCCCTGAAAGGTTGCGGGTTAGATTCCGGGTCTGGGCACATGGCTGGGCTGCAGGCTGATCCCTAGTAGGGGGAGTGCAGGAGGCAGCTGAGATGGATGTTTCACTCCCCCTCTCTCTCTCTCTAAAAAAAAATTTTTTTAAAAATCAATAAAAAATCTTAAAGAAAAAACAATATGTAAAACTCTCCAGACTAGTTAAATGAAAAAAATCTGTATGAAGAAATAAATACATGTATTTGCTTATATAAGCATAAATACCTCTAAAAGGATACACAAGAAACTAACAACACTGACAAATAGGAAGAACAAACAGAAGGGATACACTTTATTTATATTCTTTTATGCCTTTGAATAACATGAATGTCTCATCCATTCAAAAATTGGAATAAAATACGGAGAAAACTAGCCACTTCTAATTTTGAGGTTGTTAAGTTGAAAATGAGTGTCATTAATTAAAAAAATCTAAGTGTTTAGGCTATTAAAAATTTACAAGGAGCCGGCCGGTGTGGCTCAGCGGTTGAGCATGACCCCAGGATCCAGGAGATGGTGGTTCGATTCCGGTCAGGGCACATGCCCGGGTTGTGGGCTCATCCCCAGCAGGGGGCTTGCAGGAGGCAGCCGATCAATGACTCTCCTTATGGATGTTTCTCTCTCTCTCTCTCGCTTTCTGTCTCTGAAATCAATAAAGATATATTTTTAAAACATTTTCCAAGGAAATCAAGGCTTTTGCAGGGTTTTCACAGCCGGACTAACTTAAATGCGCGGCACCAGAAGTGCCTTGGGCCGGGGAGCGGGCGAGAGCCTACCTAACTTAATTCTTCTCACTTTAAACTCATTGGCGAACTTCTCCAGCTCTCGAATTTCCGGAGAATCCATGTCTATTGGCTCTTCCACCAGTTTGCTTTTTCGCCGGAGCTCCTGCTTGAACTGGGCGGCCGCGGGGTCCTCGGCCAGGAGGGGCTGGGGGGGCGCGAAGCCGGGGCCCAGGGCGTGGTCGGGGAACTTGTAGAGGCAGGGCGCCAGGCTGCCTGCGGAGAGGGAAGGGAAGGGCCCAACATTAGACCTC